TAATTTTTTTTTTTTTTTTTTGGAGGAGGGTGTGTTGGAAGTGTTGGCATGCGGAGATATATAGGAGTTTTGTGAGCAGAACTATTTCCTTCGAGAGTGAAGGGAAATACGTTAAGGTTAGGGTTAGTCTTCTTGAGGCAGTGTGGTGGGGTGGTGTGCCTGTTTTCCAAGTTCTAAATAACTGGTAATAGCTAATAAGGAACTTCTAGAACTCCTTCAATTTTAAGTTTATTAATAAATGTTTTAAAAATTGAATTAGTGAATGAGGATTATAATGTGCATCTATGTATTAGTACTTACAATAACATATAATGAAACTTTAAATATGCTTTTGTTCTAAACGTTCCCTATATATTTTGTGACATACTCACTTTTTATTGCCTCCTGCTCTGATATAAATTGTAAAAAAGTGGTTTTCTCAATTAATCAAAGCTCTACGTTTTCTAGATCTTTCCTCAGCTCCCTTTATCTTGGCTTTCAGCTCTCTAAAGAACATTTTAGTTTGATAAATCAAATGGGTACATGAAATTTTACCAACTTTTACTCTGTAAATTCTCATTTGGGCTGAGAATGAAATCAAAGATTATCTTACAGTAGTAACTTGGATGTACAGTTGGCTGTAAAGTTCCTTACTCGGAGAACACTTGACACATATGTGATTTCATGTTGCAGCAAATTCTTATTTATGGGACACTCTATGCTAATTTTTAAAAATTTGTAACTAAAATTATTTTCTGAATTCTTTGAATCACTAAATATTAATTAATAAAATGGTTGTATTTTATATTAAAGAATAAGACTGTACCTTTTTTTCCAATTTAAAACTATCATTTCCTATTTTTCTCTTGGTTCATTATCTTTTGTTCATTTGTCAAATGTTGTCCTTATTCTTAGGATTCTTTTAAAAATGTGACCTGAAAAGAAGTATCTAACTAAACCAAATATTGTTTATAATTTTTTTAAAGTTTTGATTTGGTACTCTCATGATTTAATTTCCTTTCAAATTATATATCTTTATTTTGAGACCACATTAAAGAGCTTTTTGAATTTGTGAACTTCATGGAGACCAGTTCTATACCAAATGGAACTTTTGCCTCTTTGGCTGCGATTGTTCATGCTAGTAACTTTTGACTATTGATAAGATTTCAGCTATTTAGATTGTATGAAATTTGAATGGGTTAGTGGTTTTTTTGGAGTCTTAGTTAGGCAGCTCTTACCCAATTCCCAGAGTGATGTACTAAGTTGTTCTAGATCTGGAATTTAATATTGTTTTCTAATGTATATCATAATACTGTTATCTGACGTTTTCATTTCCAGTTGAATCACCTGATTATATACTTGGATTTGTTTTGTTATGATTTCAGTTTTAAATGTTTTATTTACTTTTGTAAAATATTTGTACAATTTGTCTTTCTTATTTCTAAATGGTAAGGTAGCCTGTTCATCACTTTTAGCACCTTTGATTTTTATGTCAGTGTGGTATATAAATTATAGAAACATCTTGACTTCTAGTTCTGTAGCCTGTTCCATTTTGAAAGAAAGTCATTTTATCAACATTGACTTTTTTTTTATATGTATATAATTGGAAAATAAATGTCCTTGAATAGACTGTTCTTTTTTAAGGTCTGTAAGGTGGAGAAAATACTTAAATAGTTTTCACTTTTCTCCCAAGCTGCTTTTTGGAATATACCTAATGTCATGAACCGTATAAAGCATAATTTCTGCTATCACCTGATCTTATTTCCTGTTCTCTTTGTCATAGCTTTTCCCGTTAAGTAGTTGATAGAGAATGATAGTACAACTTTTCCTTGAAGGATAGTTAACTAAGTTTTGAAACTTTTATAAGGAACGTAGAAGCTAAACATTTTACAGTGTGTTTTCTGAGGTTGAATGTACTTTGAAAACTGTGTGAGTAGAATATTATTCATTCTGCAGAAGAGGTAAAATTGTAGCCAACAGGTTCCAAAGTTGTTATAAATTTACTAAGAAGGTATGCCTTAGAAGATACCAACTGTTTACCTCTGTTTACCTGTGACCTCTCCGATGCCTTTTTTCTCCTGAGAAAAATTCCCCATAATTTTGCAGTGTGATCTACAGCTTTATCTACTTGTAAGTTATAGGCTCAGTTAATTTAAAATGGAAGAATTTTACAGTTTTGCCTCTCTCTCTTTTTGGTTAAAGTAGTACAAAATGTCAAAAATTAGAAGGAAGGTCACAGTGGAAAATACCAAGACCATATCTGATAGCACATCCCGAAGACCCAGTGTATTTGAGAGGCTCGGACCCAGCACTGGCAGTACAGCAGAGGTGAGTTGTCACTAGAACAGTCACAGGGGTTGTCTTATAATCCTATTCTTGAAATACTGGTTTGTATCATAAAGGTGAACAGGTTATTGTATTGTAGGAATGTTCAGTAAATTTTTAAAACTGAGTAGCATAAAGAGGAGTGAGAAGAGTCACAATTTTCATGTTTTTTTCCCTGGTATTTTTATTGTTTGGGGGATAATGTATCTCAGGTTAGCTGGAGTTTTGGTAGAATTTGTTTTAATTTTGTCCCTGTAGCGTCGTTTATCCAGAAATAAATCTGAAATTTACGTAGTAATATCTGTCTCTTAGACACAGTGCCGTAATTGGCTGAAGACTGGCAACTGCCTCTATGGAAACACATGTAGATTCGTACATGGCCCTTCACCCCGTGGTAAAGGTTATAGCAGCAATTATAGAAGGTAAATTAAGAACTTTGAATTGTTCATATACTGTTAGAAGATGGCTTTTGTAATTTATCTAGTATAAAAATCTGAAATACAAACATATTTGATCAGATTTTCTCTTTTGGTGGTAGATCAACGAGATCTTTCTAGTTGTTAATTTCAAGATTAATAAAATGTATGCTTTAAAATTATTTGCTCAGCATTTACGGTTTTTGCCAACAGATTTTTTTGTATGTATGACTTACCCCCCCCCATTATGTATTAAATGGTTTAAGATAGAATTTTATGGATTTATTTTTACTGAGCGGAGACTTTTTAACTCTTAAAATATTAAAATTTAAAATGGATATAACTTTAGCTTTTTAAGATGTTCTGAATTCAAATCTTAATGACAAAAGACAATCCACTGCAGACTCTGTAGATTAAAATGCATTTGCCAAATCTCTAAACTGTGTATCAACGTAAAATATGTATTTCTATGTGGATAAAGGTACTACTACCTATTTAGAACATCTTTTTTGCCTTTGATAAAGGCAAAACTAAATGAAATTTTTCAATAAAGCCCTTTTATTTTTCTTTCAGTTCAGTTCACGATTTTGTTATTGTGTTTAAATATGTAACATATGTAAAGATTGTCACAAAAGCGGTTTAAACTTGATTGGTAAACAAATAATTAACCAAGTCGTAAAATTGAATGTGCTGATTGCCTTGGCTACAGCAAGAGTGTAAAAATCAAACATTAGCATTTGCAGTGTTTTTTTAATAAGTGAATTGATGTGTGTGTGTGTGTGTGTATAGATTTTGAGGCCTAATAGAATTTAAAATTCAAATGCTGAACTGGCTTTCTGTTCATGTAAACATACATTTTAGCTTACTTGTGATGCTGAATACTCTGTTTTATTTGTATTTAGATTGGCATCTGTGCCCTCTGTTAATGTGGGAAAACCACTTCTTTTATATGTTTAAGTATCTGTATAAATACACACCTGGGTAAAGTGTTTCAATAATTTTAATGTTTTGTTTATGTTATTACCACACTTTAATACATACTTTAATTCATCTGTGAAATTCGTTGTTAACTGACAGAAAATTTTTATAGAAGGGGTAATTTTGAGGAAAATGGGCAGAGAAATTGGCCTAAAATGGAAAAATACAGTGTCATTACTAGACTTGGAATAAAGGAGTTTTTAATTTTGTGCATGTTTTTCCATTTGATAACCCTCTTTGGCTTTGTCTTTTTTTCCTTTTTTTTTTTATAGGGAAGAGAATGTAGTTCGTAATGTGATTCAAAGATGGAAAGAAAACCCGCGTATTTCAGAAATGCTTTTTTAGTCACAAGATATTTAAGTCATTTATTGAGCATTCACTGTATGTAGAGCACTCAGGTGCTGTTTAGGATAGAAACAAGTTCATAATAAATTGTCTTATTATATAAAGGAAACCGGGGCACAGAAGATTTACATGTACATCATAATTAAAATTTAAAGCCTTTAAGTACTGGTTCATAATAAGTTTCACTTTCAAGGTCAGATTTAACTGTTAAAGCGTTTAATATAGTCTTATAAAATATACATATAAATATTAATGAGAGCCTGTAACAGGAATTAACTGAATTATTTCTTCATTAATCATTTGTTTTGTATTGATTGATAAAAGAATTGATTGATAGATAGCTATCAAAGAATTGATCAAGATAGCTTGATCAACTATTACTTGAAATAGATGTAAATGTCTATGTGATTTCTTTTTACCTTTAAAAATATATATACAGTATTTTTTGTTAGCCAGTGAGGGACATACCACTCCTTGACTTCTGTTGCTCTTTTTTAAAGATCCTCTAGGAATATTCTTTAAAGATAAGTGTTTTCCATCTCTGCTTTGTTTTCTTACTTAATATTGGTGTGAAAATAATTGGATAGCTGTTTATCGAACTTTCAGTATAAGTTATTAAGGTTTACAGTGTTGAATATAAATATGTATGATTTTCCTTAATTAAAGGAACTCCGCTGCCTAAATCTTGCTTTGAATCCTTTAACTATTTTCTGTTCTGAAACAATACCAAATTTAAGAAGAGTTATAAGAATAACAGAAAAATCCTATATTTGCCATGATTCTTGAGGTGGGTAATTCTCAGTTGTTGGCATTGCATCCAACCACATAACGTGTATATATGAAAATACCGCTAATGTTGCCTTTTGATTAATTTTACAACGTTGGGGTTTAAAACTTTATCTTCTGACTTTTTACTTCAAATACAAGTAATACATTTATGTGATTTTTAGAAAAACAAGTTAAGCTGTTAATTACAAATTCTTTTTTCTCAGCTCACATGCAGTTTCTTATTCTTATCACTAGTACCTGCCTCCCCATGGAATTTTAATGTATACACTTCTGGTTGGTATTGGGAGAAAACTTGTAAGTGATGCTTGTATTATTTATATATTAATATTTAAGCTCAAGCAAATTGATTATTTTTCTGAACATTAGGAGCCATGGACAGTTAGAAAATTTTTATTGATTTGTGAGGTATTTCTGTAAATATAGTCTTATAAGTGTTACATGAATATAGATCTTTGTTGTTTTGTTTTGTTTTTCTTTTGTTTTTGTTTTTTCGGTTCAAAGGTCACCAGAAAGACCTACAGGGGATCTTAGAGAAAGAATGAAGAATAAGCGCCAAGATGTGGACACTGAGTCCCAGAAACGAAACACAGAGGAGTCATCCTCACCTGTTAGGGTAGGAATGAATTTCCCAAAACAAAGTTTAATTTCGGTAGTGATTTATTATTTACATTCCACTCAAAATAGTATCTTGGGTGCTAAATATATGGTAAATGTGTAATACCAGGTTATAATGTTTTATGTGAATAATGTAATTTAGAGGAAAAACATCCTCTGGGAAAACTCCTAACTCTCTGAATTAGTTCTTGATGGTAGTTAATTAAGGTGAAGGGAATTGGTTAGCAGAGCCCAGTCTGAACTTCATAGGATTTCTGTATCTTGGTGGGCATCCTGAGCATCTAAAAGTATTCTGAAGTTTTCAGAATTCAGTCAGCTGTCCTATCCTGCTTGCTTCTAAGAAAGATTGAAGTGGGTTACAGTAGAACACTTAGAAATTAAAACAGTGAAAGCAGGCGTGGTGGTGATGGAAGCTGAACTAGAGAACTTAGGTGAAGGAAAGCACATGTGACCACAAATTCAGTGGTGAATTTCCTGGTAATTAATGAAGCCAGAAGAGAAATATAATTGATGATTATATATAATTTGGTGGTTGTATAAGTATATAAATTTATATCAATATAAAAATCGATGCTTCAGTATAACTTATTGAATAAAAGAAGACATCAGTTTTTCAGAAATGGAAATCTCTTCCTGAGTTAATTTTTTTTTAAGAAATTTATGTGTATGTGTAACAGATTATTGAGATATAACTCACATACCATACTGTTCATCCATTTCAAGTGTACATTTCAGTGGTTTTTGTATATTCCCAGAGTCAGGCAACCATCACCACAGTCAATTTTGGAGCATTTTCATCACCCTGAAAAGAAACCCCGTACCCTTTAGTGGTCACACTTGTATCATCCAACTGACCACCAGCCCTAGGTGACCACTGTTCCACTTACGATCACTATAGATTTGCCTGCTGTGGATATTTCATAATGCTGGAGTTACGCAATATGTGGTTTTGTTTTTGACTAGTGTCTTTCACTTAGAGTTTTCAAGGTTCATGAAAGACTATAGGATACATCAATATTTTATTCCTTGTTTTTGCCAAATAATATTCCATTGTATTAACATATCATGTTTATCCATTCATTAGTAGATGAACATTTGGGTTGTTTCCACTTTTTGGCTTTTAGGTATAATGCTGCTATGAACATCCATACACAATTTTTTGAGTGGACACATGTTTTCATTTCTCTTGGATTTATATCCTGGAGTAGAATTGCTGCATCATACAGCAACTCTATGTTTAATTTTTTGAGCAACTGCTAGGTTGTTTTCTGAAGCAGCTACACCATTTTACATTCTTGTCAGCAGTGTAGGAGGTTTTCAATTCTCTGTGTCTTTATCAGCATTTGCTATTATCTAAGTCATTCATTATAGCCATCTTAATGGATGTGACGTGGTAACCTAATTGTAGTTTTTGCAATTCCCTGACGGCTAATGATACTGAATATCGTCTCCTGTGCTTATTGGCGACCTGCATACCTTCTCAGGAGACATGTTCATTCAAATCCTTTGCCTATGTTTTAATTGGGTTGTCTTTTTGTTGATTTGTAACAACTCTATGTATTTGAAAAAAAATTTTTTAATGTTTATTTTTGAGAGAGAGCATGAGTGGGGGAGGACCAGAGAGAGAGAGAGAGAGAGAGAGAGAATCTGAAGCAGGCTCAGGCTCTGAGCTGTCAGGACAGAGCCAAACGTGGGGCTCTAACTCTCAAACCATGAGATCATGACCCAAGCTGAAGTCGGACTGAGCCACCCAGGTGCCCCTTCAACTCTATGTATTTTAGATACAAATTCCTTTTATACGATTTTTAAAAGTTTTCTTCCATTCTTTGGGTTATCTTTTTATGTTCTTGATGATGTCCTTTAAAGCACAAATGTTTTTAATTTGATGAAATCCAGTTTATCTGTGTTTTTGTTGTTGTTTGTGCTTTAGGTGTCTTATTTAAGAAACCATTGTCTAATTCAGGGTCACAAAGATTTATGCCGTGTTTTCTTCAAAGAATCTTAGAGCTTTAGCTTTGATCCATTTTGAGTTAATTTTTATGTATGGTCCAGCCTTATTCTTTTTCATGTGGATATCTTAGTTGTCTCATATTATAATCTTTTTATTAAGATTATTGTTTAAACAGAAACGTTTCTGATAATTTAAGCTTTATAGAAGCTTTCCTGTGATTGTCTTTGATCCTTGATAAAAAAGCTGTGTTACAGTTTCACATTATAGTTTGTAGAGACTTCTCTTTGGGAACCTAAAGTAGTGCAGTTTTAAGTTTGTAGCTTCTAACGTCTGATATGATCCATAATACTGCTTTAGAAATCTCAAAGTGTACTTCTCAGCTACAGGTATGTATCAGAAGGTTTTTAGAGGATAGTCTTTTGCAAAATACATGCTGATACTCTATCCCTGATCTACTGAATGAGAGGTTCTGGATAGAGGCTGAAAATTGCATTTTGCATTTTGCAAATTTTGCATATTGCATTTTGAAATAACTGATTATTCAGAATAAGGAGCGAACTTGTGGTTTGCTAGTAATATGTAACAACCACTTGGGGCGTGGGGAGCCATGCTTTGTAGGATTCGCCAGTTTTTTTGGTGTAAGTACTCCCATCGTGCTCGGTCTCATGTTGGCAAAGTGATATCACTGAATACAGAGTTGAGAAGAGATACTCGTTTTCACACCATTATATAGTATCATTCACACGTATGTCACACACAGATGTATATACACATATATAATAAGTGTAATTAACCTCAAGTAAAATGTACTAAAATATTTAGGAAGTGAGTTTCGAATAAGTAGTACCTTTGTTTTTATTATTTAACTGTCAGCTTATATGCTTTAATTTTTTTTTAATTTTCTTTTTTTAATGTTTATTTATTTTGAGAGAGAGAGGGAGAGACAGAGCACGAGCAGGGAAGGGGCAGAGAGAGAGGGAGACCCAGAATCCAAAGCAGGCTCCAGGCTCTGAGCTGTCAGCACAGAGCCCGATGTGAGGCTCAAAGTCCCAAACAGTGAGATCATGACCTGAGCCGAAGTCAGACGCCCAACCGACCGAGCCACCCAGGTGTCCCTATGATTTAATTTTTAATCATAGCTCCATTTAACAGTGGCTTGTGCAGTTCCTAAAAATTTAACAGTTGGCTCTTGTGAGTCAGTGTGGACCTGACTGTAGCACACCACTCAACGGGCTGTAGTTTAAAGGGCAAACATCTGGAATTCGTATTCTGAAGACATTATTTTAGGAATTGTTTTTTAACTTTACTGTCAGTTTCCTTATCTGTAAAATGGAGTTGATGGCTATATCAATGTGTTACTGTGAAGAAAATACGTGTAAAACAAAGTAGCATGAGTGGCTGGTCCATGGTGACTGTTGGAAAATGGTATGGACGGGTGAGAATAGCTCTCAGCCTTCCTGTCTAATATAAATTGGCTTTAGGCCCTTTATAGGAGATGAACATCAGCTTTGGAGATTTAGGTTGTTAACAGATACCTAAATCTAAGTGTGTTGCTTATCATAAAGGTTTATATGTTCAGCATTATCGGTTTAGTAGACAGCTAAGTTGACATTACATTAAGAAATTTAAAGCCTGGGGCACCTGGGTGTTTCAGCCAATTGAGTGTCAGACTTTGGCTCAGGTCATGATCTCACAGTTCATGAGTTCCAGCCTCGTGTCTGGCTCTCTACTGTCAGCGCAGAGCCCACTTTGGTTCCTCTGTCTCCCTTGCTCTCTGCACCCCCGTCTTAAAAACAAACATTAAAAAAATTTTTTAAGCCTGATTTTTACTTTCTCTAGAAGAGAAAGCCCTCAAAGGTGCTGAATGCCATGCATACCTAAGGGTTATAGTTAGAAGATTCAAGAGTGATAAGGTTTTAGGAAATTGACTATCCAAACTTAGAGAAGACTGTTAATAAGCTAGGATACCGGGGTATTAACTATTCAGAGTGATCTGTATGGCAGGATAACAAGTGCTGTTCATTTCTGTGATATTCCTACTGCAGCACATGGGCCTGCTGATCTTAATGTAATAAATTTCTACGGGAAAGTCATTTAGTTTAGGTAGGGGCACCTATAGGTTAGATAACAGTGTCGCTAAGATAGGTTGTGTGTGGTTTTTCACAAAATAACTATAATTCTACCCCTTCTGTCCCACTGAATCCAGCTCCAGTGTGTCTGAGTTATGAGGTGGATAACCCATGATCTTGGGGGAGACATTCATCAGTAGATAAATTGTAATTCTATAAAGTATGATAGTATGACAGAGAGATGAATAAAACACACAGTGGAGAGAGTAAATACCTCCATGGGGAACCACAGAACATTTCACAGAGGGAAAGGATATTTGCCCTGAGTGTTGAAGGATAGGTAGGATGAAAGAGGGGGCAGTGAAAGTTTAGGAAGAGGAAAAAACCAGCACACTAACAATAAGGAGTTTTAAAGGACTCCTAGTGTGTTTGAGAATCTGTGAAGATATGTGTTTAAAGAATGGAAATTATTGGGGCGCCTGGGTGGCGCAGTCGGTTAAGCGTCTGACTTCAGCCAGGTCACGATCTCGCGGTCTGTGAGTTCGAGCCCCGCGTCAGGCTCTGGGCTGATGGCTCGGAGCCTGGAGCCTGTTTCCGATTCTGTGTCTCCCTCTCTCTCTGCCCCTCCCCCGTTCATGCTCTGTCTCTCTCTGTCCCAAAAATAAATAAATGTTGAAAAAAAAAATTTAAAAAAAAAAAGAATGGAAATTATAGAATGTGAATTTGTGACAAGGGCTGAAGAGGTGGATTAGGTCGATCAGATTGTGAATAGTCTTAATGTGTCAGTCAGGGTTTGGCAAGAGAAAAGAGATTTGTACGCCAGGAATCTATTCTTGTTCACAGATTCGCCTCTAGACCCTGCAACTAGTAAGTTCACTTAATGAATGAAGAGTGCTTCTGATGTGTAGCCAGTGTTTGGACCTCTGGTGGTCTGGGGCGTCTGTGCTCCAGTGGGGCTGCTGAACACTTGAAATGGGG